CTCCCTCCCTCCCTCCCTCCCTCTCTCCCTCTCTCCCTCTCTCCCTCCTCCCCCGTCCCTCCCTCCCTCTCTCCCTCCCTCCCTCTCTCCCTCCCCTGTCCCTCCCTCCCTCCCTCCCTCTCTCCCTCTCTCCCACCTCCTGACCCTCCCTCTATCTCCTCCTCCTACCCTGGCTTTATTTTGATGGTTGAAGCTATACCACCCAGCTGTTCCACTCCATTTGACCTTGATTCCTGCTCCTTCCTTCGGGGATTCCCAGCAGCCTGTACCTTCCTGTTTCTCCCTCTCTGGGGAACTCTCGTTTCCTGTGTATTTCCTGCAGTGATCCCTCATAGTTCTGTCTCCCACAAATATTAAGTCAGCTATCTGCCTTTTGGCTCAAAGCCAATTGCCCTCTGGATATTTGTCCAGCTTTGCCGTTGCCCTCTGATAGCACAGAATGTGAGATCATCTCAGTCTGAGTCCTGCTCGTCTGACTGTGCAAAGATTCCCTCAGATCCCTAGAAACCACATGATCCTGGCTTTGGTTTTACCGCAGCTTCATCCCAAGGGTCTAACTGCTCTGATGTAAATTGTGCAGCAGATTCAGTGACAGAAACACCTAAATGAGAGAGGGGAATCTGCAGCTACCGATGCTGGGCCTGACCTACAGACTGAGCATTGCTCTGCGTGACCATCTGTTACTTCAGTCGTGGCTCTTCCATTCATGGTGTTCTTGCATCTAAAGCTGCTGCCCCTGTGAGCCTGTCTCCTTTTCCACTGGATCATCAAGTCAAAACATTCACTCTGTTTCTGTCCTCACAGATCTGCAGAGTTTCTCCAGCACTCCCAGTGGGATGGCCATGTTAATATTGAACTGTTTATAGATCACTCTCCCGTACCACGTGGTGGAATTTGAGAATGTTCTTGGGCCCCAGTGGGAAAAGTATTAAACAGATGACTCCATGATGTTTAAGCAGAGCAGGGGCTGCTTTCCTGAGCTTAGATGATGTCTTGAGATAGTTCTGAGGGAAATGAGTCAGTCAGCAATTACAATCCCCAGTCACACTGTTTGTTAGTGTTGCAGCAGCTGCAGGAAAGCACTTCAATGTGGAACAATTACCTCTTTGTGCCTTCCTCAGTGAAAAGGAGAAAGAGAAAAGTGACACTTCAGCGGAGGAGAATGAAGAAAAGGAGGTTTCCGTTTCCAAAGGCCGTCAAACAGCCAATAGCCAGGGCCGACGGAAGGGGAGAGTGACCCGCTCTGTGGCCAATGAGGCTGACCCTGAGGAGACCATAGCCCCTCGAACTGAACCAGGTGAGTAACGGGGGATGTCTATGACTCAAACAGTCAGTAGCAGCTGGTCACTCTCAAACTGCTTACTTCCAGATTAGCTGGGCAGTCATTGGCTCATCCGAATCTGAAAGGGTTTTCACGGTGCTGAGGGGGATCTGAGGAGCTGGACTCTCACTTGGTTAAACCAGCTCAAAGAGGATGTCAGCGAGCGATTTAGGGAGCGAATACCCTGCGCACCCTCAGTCTCGCCCTAACGCTGATTTCAGAGCTGTTTAGGGGGCCGGAGAAATGGGGCTCAATAAAGATGGGACACAACAGCAAAGGGATAGCACCGTGACCTTACTGACAGCTGACGGTAAAATAGGGCCTTTGAGGAAAGCATGGCCAGGCAGCCTCAGACAGAGACAGAGGGGACACAATCTGTTAAAATGGTAAGCCATCAGCTGCTGAAGCTGGGAGTCAGAGGGAAAGCTGATAATGTGAGGGGTATCTCTGCTCCCTCAATAGGAGATGCAGCAAACTGAGGCACTCACTCTGTGTCACTGCGTATTAAATATTTAAGTCAATGGCAGGGGGGGAGGCATGAGATTAAGTTGTTATAAATATTATTTAAATGATCCAGTCAAGTTGAGAGAAGTTTGTATGGACCCTGACCATCTTGTTACCCCTGGGGGTAACTGTCTGAGTGTGTGCACAGTAATTCAGGATTTGACATAAGAGTTTATTATCGATAATACCTTTCCGTAAACACTTTGTTAAAAAAAATATAATTATGGGATGATTAAGAATCTGACAGTTTGGCTAAATAACAATCCCATCTGTGAAATGTTTCAACTCCTTCCTTCATTGAATCAATGAAGTGCAGCTTCAGAATATTCCAGATAGTTCCATTGTACCAAGAGGTCCCATCGTCTCAGACTCAACCCATGGAGTGACAGCAGTGAATGCTTTAAAGGGCAGGTGCTGTTTGAATTGACACAGTGCTGACAGAGGAGAGTCTGAGCTATAGCACGAGGTCTGCAAATCTGCCAAGTGTGACTGTTGGAACTGTTACAAGAGCCAGTATCACAGCTGGGTTTTCACGGTGCTGAGGGGGATCTGAGGAGCTGGACTCTCACCTGGTTAAACCAGCTCAAAGAGGATGTCAGCGAGAGATTTAGGGAGCGAGTACCCTGCGCACCCTCAGTCTCGCCCTAACGCTGATTTCAGAGCTGTTTAGGGGGCCGGAGAAATGGGGCTCAATAAAGATGGGACATAATAGCAAAGGAATAGTACTGTGTCCAGGATTATATGTGACTTTGAAAGATACCCGAGTAATAGCAAAGAGCAGAGATGTCCTGCTTCTAATGCACATGTGAAACCAGAGCCTTCCTGGAGTAAAGTTTGTGAAACTTTCTTTGCAGTCTCTTCCGAGCCAGTTGAAAGTTCTCGCTGGACAGAGGAAGAAATGGAAGTTGCTAAAAAAGGTTTGTGATTTGTTTTTTTTCTGCTGCTTGCTTCATAGATTCATAATGGTTCATTTACAAAATCAGCTTCCACATTACTATAGTTTGTAAAGAGATTTAAATACAGCATTTCACTTAATCATTCTGAATACTCGAACAAAACTGTTTGAATGTTAAAATGGTTTCATTTGATGTGTTTGGATTTCATGTGAGCATGTGTGGATATTTTTCTTGGGAGATAATTTGAAGTGTTAAAATGTCCTCTGTGTAAGAACATTGCAAGGGTAAATTTTTCTAAAGGTTCATTTATTGTTCATCAGACAGTTAGATTCTGAAGGGAGAGCGATATTTTTCAATGTGAGACACTTTCATATACAGTAAGTTGCCACAGAAACTGCGTTTTGCCTCATCAGGACTGAGCTGATGACGCTTCCTCAGAGCTGACTCTAAACTGACAGTTTCATATTATTCAAGTGGAAAAATTGTGGTTAAACTGGTTGCTCTAAGATTTTTACAAATATCTAATGTTATCTTAATCTGTGTTGTGATTGTATGTGCCCGTACACTGAATGGACTGCAACGGTTCAACATGGCAGCTCACCCCCACCCTCCTGAGGGGTAATTAGGGATGAGCAATAAATGCTGCTCAGACAGCAATTCTCATATCTCACAAATGAATTAAAAACGCAGAATTGTCCCCACTTTTGAAACATGCCTTCAGAGTTCAGATGAACTTTAGTGCTGCTATCAGAGTTATGACCAATTGCTTCAGTCAACTGTTTATGTTGAACTGCTCGAGTTTCAAGTGGCCAGACTTTGGTGCCAAGGATTGAGTGCAATGACACACTGAATCAAAATACAACCCATTATTGCAACAGAATTGTTTGTTTACAACCCACTGCCTGTCCTTCAGTGGGTCACTACCTTTAACCCTTTGATACCTGCAGCTGTTTCTGTGCAACATGAAATCTTTTATAAAACTATTGGAACGAACAAAGTGGTTTTCCTCACGGCAGCCAGAGGGACAGGTCTGATTTAAGCTTGGAATTTATTAAAGTGCTCAACAGATAGATGTACGAGATCACCTTGTGCCACCTTTAGGATTTAGACCCAGTGAAGGAACAGTGAAGGCAGGAGTCAGACTCTCAGGGTATGGGATAGGCTGTTTAGGACAGAGATGAGGAAACATTTCTTCACCTGGAAGATGGTCAACCTATGGAATTCTCAACAATCAAAGGCTGTGGGATTGAATATAGTTCAGAACAAGATTGATACATTTTTAGGTTTAAAAGCATCAAGGGGTTTAGAGAGAAAGCAGGACTGTTGTCATGAGTGAGAGGATCAGCCATGATTATATGAAATGGCAGACCTACACCTGCTCCTAGTCTCTATGTTTCTATACGTTTCCAAGTCAGGATGGTGAGGGACTTCGAGAGGAATTTGCAGGGGGTAGTGTTCCTATGTATCTGCTGCCCTTATCCTTCTAGATGGCAGAGATTACAGGTTTGGAAGGTGCTGTCTGAGGATCGTTAGTGAATTTCTGCAGTGCTCTGTATAGATAGTACACACTGCAGCTACTGAGACACAGACATGTACTCTACATGGCGCTGCCATTCAACAGGATCTTGCCAATCTGCCCCAGAGCTCAGCTCCTCATAGCCCTCAACTCCCCAATGTGTCAAAAATCTATCCACCTCCTGGAGTGTTCTAGCCTCCACAATTCTCTGGTGTAGAGAATTCCAGACATTCACTGCCTTGTGGGAGAAGAAATTGCATCACATCTCAGTTTTAAATGGGTGTCCCCTCACTCTGTGACAATGTCCCCTCACGCTGTAACAATGTCCCCTGGTCCAAGGTTCCCCTACTAGTGGAAGCATCCGCTGAACATTTGCCCTGATTTCCCTTTCACTAAACCATGTTGACTCTGAGAGTGTTAAGCTCTTCTAAATGTCCTGCTATTTCTTCTTTAAGACCTTGGGAGGGAATACAAAGTAGTTTTACAAAAATGATACCTGGACTTCAAGGGAGAAACTAAACATATTCTAGAATTTAGAAAGTTATGGAGTGATTTGAATGAAGTCTTCAAGGTACTAATAGGAAAAGACAGGGTAGATAAAGGTAAACAATTCCCACTGGTTGAGGATTCTAGAAGTAGGGGCGTAGTGTGAGAATTAGGGCCAGACCATTCAGGAGAGATGTTAGGAAGCACTTCTATGTACAAAGGGTGGGAGAGGTTTGGAACTCTCTTCCACAAACCATTGTGGATGCTGGATCAGTTGTTACATTTATCTGTTTCAGATTTAAAATTTTGTTAAGCAAAGGTATGACAGGATAGGAGATAAGGGCCAAGGGCAGGTATATGGAGTTAGGCCACAGATCAGCCATGAATTTACTAAATAGCAGAACACTCACTAAAGCTACTCTCTTTTTACAGACCCAGAGAAGCTGTTGCTGTTTGTTTTTAAATTTCCCGCCAATATACTTTCATAATCAATTTTCTCCCTTTCTGTTAATTTTTTAGTCATCACCGCTGGCTTTTAAAAAAACAATCCTGATCCTCTGGCTGCTTTATATGCTTTAATTTTAATTGGATACTCTCCTTGAACATCAAACTCCAGCAAATTTGGCCGAAATGATTTTCCATTCACAAATACACGTTGACTGTGCCCAATCAGATCGATTTAGTCAAATATCCATTTATCACATCCTTTGTTATAAATTCAAGTATTTTTCTTATTACTGGTGTAAAGTCACCATAGTCCCAGGGGACCGTAGGGTTGCTCTCCCTTTAGAGTTTAACACATGGTGGTTAAGTTGAGGATCACCTGTCCTCAAGCCAGGGGTGAGGATGAGATGACAGGACCCTCATGGTGACCTCAGCCAGCACAGGAATTGAACCCACACAGTTGGTCACTGTGCATCGCAAACCATCTGTTGGGCCAACTGACATAACCGACCCCTCACCTCTGTAAGGCTGACGGATGTGTAGTTTCCTGTTTTCTCTGTCCCTCCTTTCTTAAATACTGGAGTGAAATTTGCAGCTTCCAATCTGGAGGAATTGTTCCAGAATCTACAGAATTTTGGAAAATAATCACCAAAGCATCGACTATCTTTATGGCGACCTCCTTCAGCATTCTAAGATGTAGGATGTCAGATCCTAGGGAGTTATCATCTTTCAATACTGTTCATTTCTCCAGTGCAACCTCCTTACTGATGCTAATTCCCTTTGACCCCTCATTCTCCCTAGTCACCTGGATCTCCACATCTGGGAGATTTCTTGTATCTTCCGTAGTCAAAAGGGGACAAAAAGTGATGCTTTAGCTTCTCTGCCATTTCTCTCTTCCTTATTATGAATTTTACTGACTCTGCTTCTAATGGACCCACATTTGTTTCCTTTTTACATACCTGTGGAAGTTTTTATGTTCTGTGTTTGAAAGGTTTTTTTTGCCAGATTGTATTCATATTCATTTCCTTATCATTTTCATGTTCTCCCTTTGCTGCATTCTTAAAAACCCAACCTTCAGTTTTATTACTAATTCTGGCCACTTTATAAAGTCCTTTCTTTTAATATTATGTAATGCTTAGCACGTTTTGTCTGTGATGGCTGCCTGACCAATTTTGATTTTTTGCACTTTGAAGGAATGTTGCTGTAATCCATGTAACGGTTCTTTTTCAGACTGTCCATTGCCTCCAGTTACCAGTCATGCATCTCAGTCTCTGCAAACTGAGAGAGTCACCACCTGATCGTCTCTCACTATCAACACTGCCATTATAACCTTGTCTCTAAATGTTATACAGAGGCTTGGAAAGCAGCAACTATCCTTGTTGAGCCATTAGTCCTCTTGTCGTGTGGAATTTTCTGGGATGTATGTCAAGTAATTCAGATACTGGGTGAAGGTGCAGGGTCTATAGAAGGATCTCTCCCCCAGCCCCCTCTCCTCCCTGTTTGACCCTCTCTTTCCCTCCCCTGACCACCACCCCCCTTGTCTCCTCCTTTCTCACTCTCTCCTGTGCTCTCTGTTACCCTCCCCCTCCCGCTCCCGTGCTCTCATTCTGTCTGAAGGGGCAGGACAGTCTTTCACAGGGAAGTGTTCATCTTCCAGATATTCCACTTTGGGACCTGGGGGAACCTGTTCAATTCGGGAAACAGATTCCTGGTAGAAATTGATTAATTTCAATCCATTTGTAAGTAACGGTAGAAAGTAGTTTCAGATCAGAGGTGCTGGCCTACTCGTATTATTGCTAGACTATTAATCCACAAACTCAGCTCATGTTTTGGGGACCTGGGTTCAAATTGCAATACAGCAGATAGTGGAACTTGAATTCAACAAAATAAATTACCTGGAAACCCATCTGGTTCAATAATGTCCTTTAGGGAAGGAAATCTGCCATCCTTACCTGGTCTGGCCTACATGTGACTCCAGACCCACAGCAATGTGGTTGACTCTCAACTGCTAAATAGAAACCAAAAGAGCTGCAGATGCTGTAAATCAGGAACAGGAACAGAAGTTGCTGGAAAAGCTCACGAGGTCCAGCAGCATCTGTGAGGAAAAGTTACAGTTAACATTTCAGGTCCGGTGACCCTTCCTTGGAACCAGCTGAGCTTTACCAGCAGCTTCTGTTTTTGTTTGTGACTCTCCATTGCCCTCTGAAACGGCCTAGCAAGCCACTCAGATGTACCGATCGCTACAAAGACTCAAAGAAATGAAACTGGACGGATCACCCAGCATCGACCTAGGCACCGGAAAAGACAACATCAGAAACAGCCCTGTCGACCCTGCAAGGTCCTCCTCACTAACATCTGTGGACTAGTGACAAAATTGGGAGAGCTGTCTCACAGACTAGCCAAGCAACAGCCTGACATAGTCATAGTCACAGAATCATACCTTACAGACAATGTTCCAGATACCACCATCACCAAGCCTGGATATGTCCTGTCCCATCGGCAGGACAGACCCAGCAGAGGGGGTGTCACAGTGGGATACATTTGGGAGGGAGTTGCTCTGGGAGTCCTCAACATTGACTCCGGACCCCATGAAGTCTCATGGCTTCAGGATAAACATGGGTAAGGAAACCTCCTACTGATTACCACATACTGTCCTCCCCCAGCTGATGAATCAGTCTCTCCTCAATGTTGAACAACACTTAGAGGAAGCACTGAGGATGGCAAGGGCACAGAGTGTACTCTGGGTGAGGGATTTCAATGTCCACCACCAAGAGTGGCCCGGCAGCAGTACTACTGATCGAGCTGGTCGGGTCCTAAAGGACATAGCTGCTAGACTGGGCCTGTGGCAGGTGGTGAGGGAACCAACAAGAGAGAAAAACATACTTGACCTTATCCTCACCAATCTGCCAGCTGCAGATGTATCTGTCAATGACAGTATCGGTAAGAGTGACCATCGCACAGTCCTTCCTTCATTCCTTTATTCATTCACGGAATGAGGGCGTCGCTGGCTAGGTAACATTTATTGCCCATCCCTAATTGCCCAGAGGGCAGTTCGGAGTCAACCACATTGCGGTGGGTCTGGAGTCACATGTAGGCCAGACAGGTAAGGATGGCAGTTTCCTTCCCTAAAGGACATTAGTGAACCAGATGGGTTTTTGCCAACAATCGGCGATGGATTCATGGTCATCATTAAATTCTTAATTCCAGATATTTAATGAATTCAAATTCCCCAGAACATTATCTGGGTCTCTGGATTAACAGTCCAGTGAAAATACCACTAGGCTATCGCCTTGTAGAGATGACATCCTACCTTCACATTAAGAATACCTTCCATCAAGATGTGTGGTGCTGTCACCATGCTAAATGGAACAGACTTCGCACAGATCTAGCAACTCAAGACTGGGCATCCATGAGGCGCTGTGGGCCATCAACAGCAGCAGAATTGTACTCCAGCACAATCTATAACCTCATGGCCCAGCATATCCCCCACTCAACCATTACCATCAAGCCAGGGGATCAACCCTGGTTCAATGGAGAGTACAGGAGGGCATGCCAGGAGCAGCACCAGGCATACCTGAAGATGAGGTATCAACCTGGTGAAGCCACCAAACAGGACTACTTGCACGCCAAACAGCGAAAGCAGCAAGTGATAGACAGAGCTAAGCGATCCCACAGCCAATGGATCAGATCTAAGCTCTGCAGTCTTGCCACATCCAGTTGTAAATGGTGGTGAACAGTTAAGCAACTCACGGGAGGAGGAGGCTCCACAAATATCCCCATCCTCAATGATGGAAGAGCCCAGCACATCAGTGCAAAAGATAAGACTGAAGCATTCGCAGCAATCTTCAGCCAGAAGTGCCAAGTGGATGATCCATCTCGGCCTCTTCCAGCGGTCTCCAGCATCACAGATACCAGTCTTCAGCCAATTCAGTTCACTCCATGTTATATCAAGAAACGGTTGGAGACCCTGGATACTGCAAAGACTATGGGCCCTGACAACATTCCAGCAATAGTACTGAAGACTTGTGCTCCAGAACTTGCCGTTCCTCTAGCCAAGCTGTTCCAGTACAGTTACAACACTAGTATCTACCTGACAATGTGGAAAATTGCCCAAGTATGTCCTGTACATAAAAAGCAGGACAAATCAAAGCCGGCCAGTTACCACCCCATCAGTCTCCTCTCGATCATCAGTAAAGGAGGATGCTAAGAGGCTGCAGGGTGGCTTGGACAGACTGGCTGACTGGGCACATACATGACAAATGCAGCAAAATGTGGATAAGTGTGAGGTTACCCACTTTGGTCACAAAAACAGGAAGGCAAGTTATTATCTGAATGGTGGCAGTTTAGGAAAAGGTGAGGTGCAGTGAGACCTGGGTGCCATGGTGGAATAGTCACTGAAAGTTGGCATGCAGGTGCAGTGGGCAGTGAGGAAAGCTAATGGCATGCTGGCCTTCATAGCGAGAGGGTTTGAGTATCGAAGTAAGGACGTCTTGCTGCAGTTATACAGGGCGTTGGTGAGGCCACACCTTGAGTATTGTGCACAGTTTTGGTCTCCCAGTCTGAGGAAGGGCTTTGTTGCTATTGAGGGAATCCAGCAAAGGTTTACCAGACTGATTCCTGGGATGGCAGGACTGACCTATGAGGAAAGACTGGATTGACTGAGCTTGTACTCATGGGAATTTAGAAGAATGAGGGGGATTTCATAGAAACATTTAAAATCCTGATGGGACTGGACAGGATAGATGTGGGAAGAATGTTCCAGATTTTGGCAAATTCCAGAACTAGGGGTCACAGTCGAAGAATAAGGGAAAGGCCATTCAGGACCGGGCTGAGGAAGGATGTCTTCAGTCAGAGACTGGTGAACCTGTGGAATTCTCTCCCACAGGATGCTGTTGGGGCCAGTTCGTTAGATATATTCTAGAGGGAGCTGGACATGGCCCTTGTGGCTAAAGGGACCAAGGAGTATGGAGAGAGGGTGGGAATGAGATTGCATGATCAGCCAGGAACATGTTGAACAGTACTGCAGGCTCGAAGGGCTGAATGGCCTAGTCCTGTACCTATTTTCTATGTTTCTATGATTTCTTTGTGAGTGGAAGGGAGGAGTAGTGAGGGGTAGGCAGTGATGTGGTGAGAGAGGGGAGACAGTCGAGAGCAGGAGAATGGGTGAGATGCGAGAGAGTGAGTGGCTGAAGGGGGACAAGAGAAATTGGGAGACAGGAGGAAGGGGTCATCAGGAGGGGGAGGGTGACTAGTTTGATATATCATTAACATTCAGGTTTTAAAAAGGCCTGCTAAGGATTGGAATGTTTTTTTCCTTTCACTCTAACTAATGTATGCCAAAGGTCAAAGGTTAATGTGTCATATGTTTGTTTAATTCCACCTGAGGGCAATATTCCTCCAGGACGGAGTGGGCTGGCTCAGATCTTTCCAGAAAGGAATGTGAGCACTTTCACTACATGTTGCCATAGTAACACACTACTCCATCGCCATACAGACCATCGTTCACACAACTACCACCTATAACCCCTCCCTCCAACAAATCTCCACATCTGGAGAGATGGCAGGGGGCAATGGAGGGGGCCAAAGGAGGGGCTGTGGATAGATGGGGTAACAGGGAGGAGGGCTGTGGAGAGATGGGGTAACAGGGAGGAGGGATAACAGGGAGGAGGGGGCAATGGAGAGGGGAGTAACAAGGAGGAGGGGTAACAGGGAGGAGGGGGCAATGGAGAGGGGAGGTAATGGGGAGGAGGGAGCACCGGAGAGGGGAGTAACTGGGAGGAGGGGGTAACGGGGAGGAGGGGGCAACAAAGGGGGTTAACAGGGAGGAGGGTTAGTAGGGAGTGGTAATAGAGAAAGGGGTAACAAGGAAAGGCAATAATGGGGCAGTGATAACTGGGAGTAGGGATAACAGTGAGTGATAATGGAGTTGGTGCACAGAGAGGAAGATTAGCAGGAAGTGGGATAACAGGGAGGTAGTTACCGGTATCTAGCTCAGTATCCCACTGGAAGCTGCTTTGAACACACCAACCCCCAGTATTGTAAATAACTGTGTGCCCAGTAGAAATCTTGCGGACCACCACTTCCATTAAAGTAACTTCATTCTAAGTAACTCCTTTTAATTTCTACTTTGTTTTCTGATTTGTTGCCAACTTGCCTACTCCATTTGCCTACTCTTCCTGATTCCACATATCAGTCTACCATGCAGTACCTTATCAAAGATCTTTTGGATATTCAAATATTACATCCAAAGTATGACTCTTATCTGCCTGTTACCTCTTCAAAGATCTTATTAAAGTTACTCAAACATAATCTCCTCTTTTCAAATCTATGCTGGTAATGTCTTCAGTTTTGGGATGTTTCGATGTTCCTCTTAGTACAGTTTCATTACATTACATGGTTCTTTGGACTTGTACAACCTCACTGTTTAAATATAGCTGTCACATTAGCATGGTGGAACAATTTCTAACAAACTCTGTGCCAGAGAGAAGCCAGTTCTGCTTTTGAAGTGAAGCACTTCTGAGTGTCTATGGACTCTCTCAGCTGATTGGGTCCTCACTGCTTTCTATCATGTGAGTAGCCTTTGGTATTGTTCCCAAGGAGCAGACCCCTCTCTCCCATCTCTCACTTCACAGCTTCTCCTCTCGGTTACAGCTTACACACCCAGTTAGCCACATTGTCAGCTAGTTATATGCAGGTTACGGATGATCTCTCGTGACAAAAGGGGAGTGACTGGGATGAGGAAGGTGGGAGAAGGGATCAGGAGGGTGCTGATTTTGGACACATGCCACATTGAAGTCATGACGAGCTGCTCCACTGAGAGATTGTCTGGGAATCTGGACTGAGAGGGAGGAAGCAGAAACTTCAAACCGGTTCTGATTGTGGCTGGGACCCACTCAGTAGGAAGTGATGAATTGATGATAGCAGAAGGAGAGACGTCATGTGGTGGAGGGGAGGGAGCAGAAGTGGAGAACTGTCTTGAGTGTGAGTGTGTAGCATTAAATCGTCAGCAGGTCTTGCAAGCAGATTGATCTCTTTGTGATGTTTTCTGTAACAGATTCCATTCCAGCTTGTTTTGTTTTCTCTGAACTCTGGAGAGTTTGCCAGCTGCAGATTCTAATCTTTTATTAATTTCCATTTCAGGTCTTGTTGAACATGGCCGTGGCTGGGCAGCTATTGCCAAGATGGTGAGTTCCAAGACGGAGGCTCAGTGTAAAAATTTCTACTTTAACTACAAAAGACGTCACAATCTGGATGCCCTCCTTCAGCAGCACAGACTGAGAATGGTAAGGGTTGGTAATGCTAAGGGTTGAAAGCAGCCAGTGATCTGATCTGAACTGAATCGAGGTCATCCAGTCACTTTCTGCTTCACTGGTAAATCAAACATTCAGAAAGACAGAAGGAGATGAGGTTTTAGCAGAGTCCAGTCCCATTGCACTGTCTGTTGTAAATTGGATTTGACTCATCAAGCAGCTCCAAACAGCTTCACACCAGCTCCAGTTTATCTCCATATAAAGTCCAGTTCCATTCCCAGCCAGCACATTGTTCATTTAAGGTTTCCTTGCTTTCTGTGTTGTTGTTCAGCAGCAATCAGCACAGAGTGATGCTAACTCACCGAATAAATGGGATCTTCACACTAAAGCAGCTGTCACAGGATCTAATCTCCTGGTCCGAATAAAATGTTGCACATTGTGTGGACTTGGTGATGACAGAAATTAATTCTTTGTGCCCACACCACCAACCTCCCTCCCCCGCAACCCCCACCAACCCTCCCCCCACAGGAACACAAGGATGACATTTAGGCTGCACCTCAATTCCCTTGTTCTACACTTACGTTCTCACCAGCATCTAACTGTTCCTGTAACAGGCTGGACGGCTGAGTGTCACTCCTGGAATAGGCATTTTTTTTTAGGGCTGTCAAGACAGATTAATGATTGGCGCTCTCTTCTGAACAATGTTGACCTAGTGTTGACTGATTATTTTTTCCCCCCTCCAGCAGACTCTCTTCCACCATCTGGTCATTCCTTTTGTCTTGTTTTTCTTCCTGAAGCTTGTCACCAGGTAATCGGGTCATTAGTGAGGATTTATGATCTCCGTCACCTTGCGATCTCTCATTCAGATGTCCCTGTGTGGTCACTGTGCCCTTCGCTGGAGTTAGAGTGTTCTGAGGATATGAGCCTGGCACTCCCTCTCAGACCCAACCAACATCTCATAATCTCTGCTTTGACAGTTTCAGTTGATCTGTACCATTACCAACTGTGTGAGGAAACCAATCACAAATGTTCTCATATCTTTCCAGGAGGCAGCGCTAGCAAACATCACCCCATATGACCCGGCTCCAAGTGTCACGTTGTGCTCTCGACTCCTCGACCCATCTGTCCTGCCAACAACAGAGCTTAGAATAAAGAGATTCAGAGATTCCTGAGTCATATTGTTTCAGGAGCTGTATGTTAGTGTGCCTCAGAGCTACCTGTCTGTTTAATTCCCCATCCCACTCTGTCCTTGGCCTCAAGCAATGTCAAACAGAACATCAGTGATGCACTGTTCAGATTTTGATGATGATTTTGGGGCAGGTACAGAAAGAGTCAGTTGTTCACTTTTCTGGCCATAGATTTCACCGTCATTTTCACAGGTTTCAGTTCATAAGAAATAGGGCCCACAAGTGGAGCAAGCTGGAGGGGCTGAATGGCCTCTTCTTGGTCCTATAATACACTGGAGGGGCTGACTGGCCTCCTCTTCCCAGGAGGACCTTGGGGCTGCTCTCTGATTAGAGAGAGATGATGCTGGTAGATTAACCTGAGGGTCACCATGCCTCAGGGGTCCTCATGGTAACTTCAGCCTGTGCAGGAATTCAACCCATGCCAGCTGCACAGCCAACTGAGCTAACCGATCCCCAGTAAAACTGTGGGTTCGCTGTTAACGAGCAATGTCACCTGGGTCAGTCAGTACACACACATTGTCACACATCCCATTTCCCTGACACACTCACTCTCTCACTCTCTCCCTCCCTCATACTCTCGCTCTGTCTCATGCACACTCTGTCTCACTCACACTTCCGCTCTCTCTCCGTTCGCACTCTCTGTCCCTGGTCGCACTCTCTCTACCTCTCTCTCTCCACTCGCTTGCACTCTCTCTCTGCTGACTCGTTCTCTCGCTCATTCCCTCTTTTGTGCACTTTCGCTCTCTCTCTCACTCCCTCCTCTCTCTATATCTGTTTTCCTCTCTCGTTCTCTCTCTGTGTCTCTCTCTCTGTATCTCTGTCTCTGTGTCTCTCTCTCTGTGTCTGTCTGTCTCTGTGTCTCTCTGTCTCTGTCTCTCTCTCCCTCACTCTGTCCTCTCTGTCTGTCTCTCTCTCCCTCTCTCTCAGTCTGTCTCTGTCTTTGTCTCGCTCCGTCTCTCTTTTTCTCTCTCTCTCTGTCGCCCCCTCTTCCCCGCTCCCCCCCCCCATCCCCGCCCCCCTGCCAACACCGTCTCTGTCTCTGTCTCTGTCTCTGTCTGTCTCTGCCTCGATTCTCTCTTATTTTCTGATGAAGGGTCATCGGACTCAAAATGTTAACTCTGTTTCTCTCTGCCCAGATGCTGCCAAACCTGCTGTGTTTCTCCAGCGATGTCTGTTTTTGTTTCCGATTTCCAGCATCCACAGTCCTTTGTTTAATTTTGTTTGACTGTTATAGCTGTTGGATAGTGTCCTTGCCTCTGCTCCAGGAGGCCTGAGTTCAAGTTCCACCTGATCAAGAGCTGTGTAATACCATCTCTGAGCAGGCTGATTAGGAAAAGCAAACAAGAGGACTGAGCTGCAGACTGAAACTGGGCCTGATGTTCCGATCTAAAACACAATGCAGCCAATGACACTGTGCCTGCTTTATATGGTTTCTCAGTTAGAAAGGTGTCACCTGGCCAACTCCTAGGGACCATACGTATCTGATATTTAGGCACCTCAGTGCTCCAGCTTGCTGCTGCACCCGCTCAGTTGCCTACTGCTGTTAATTTTGAATTTCTTTCATGAATTTATTTTGTGTTGATAGGAGGCAGAAAAGGTTGTGAAGAAGAAGAGGAAGATCCCAGCGGCACAGGGAGAGGAATCCTCAGCAACGTCTGCTGCTGAAGACGAGGATCTGGAAGCTTCTGCAACTAGTGGGAATGAAGAAGAAATGAGAGAAGATGCAGAGGGTTCAAATGCATTTGCTGAAGGTATCAATCCATAACACCTAGGATTTCTACGGAAGCTCATACAGTCCAAGTTCACTGCTTAATTCCCAACAAAAATCCCCATTGCTGAGAGGATTTCTGCAGGATAAAGGAGACCAGCTGGCTTGTTGTTCCTCAGACGTTTCATTACCCTGCTGGGTTACATCATCAGTGCAGCCTCCGATGAAGCACCGGTGTGTTTTCCCGCCTGGTTTTTAAACTCAGGAGTCCGTTGAGCTGGTTTGCCTCACCTCCAGTTTTCCTTCATAGTGGAGTGTATATGGGGTCAAGTTCTATGTGTTTGTTGATGGCTTTCTTCGTGGAGTACCAGGATTCTAGGAATTCCCGTGCCTGTCTCTGCCTAGCCTGTCCCAGGATTTTGGTGTTGTCCCAGTCGAATTGGTGGTTCTCCTTGTCCGTGTGGATTGAGATGAGTGAGTATTGGTCGTATTGACAAAAGACAAAAAGACACGACCAATACTCACTCATCTCAATCCATATGAATAAGGAGAACCACCAATTCGACTGGGGCAACACCAAAATCCTGGGACAAGTTAAGCAGAGACAAGCACGGGCATTCCTAGAAGCCTGGTACTCCACGAAGAAAGACATCAACAAACACATATACACTCCACTATGAAGGAAAACTGGAAGTGAGGCAATCCAGCTCAACGGACTCCTGAGTTTAAAAACCAGGCGGGAAAACACACCGGTGCTTCATCGGAGGCTGCACTGATGATGTTACCAAGCACGGTAACGAAATGTCTGCAGAACAACAAACCAGCTCAGCGAGACAACCAACCTCAACACCCACAACCCGGGCTACAAATCTACTCCAAATCCGTATAAAGGAGACCAGTTGAACCTTTATGTTCTACTGATCAGAGACCTAACAGAATGCTCACCACTTTGAGTTATTATTAAAACACTCAGTCTACAATTCCTCATGAGCCCGCCCAGACTCAATCTGACAATCTCATTAATCCACCACTTCATCTGATTTTATCACATTTACCCCTAAAGAAGAGCCATATCAGACTTGAAAAATTAACTCTACTTCTGTCTGCACAGATGCTGCCAGACCCACTGAGTTTGTCCACTATTCTCTGTTCAAATCATATTCACTTTGCCTGAACTGTGATTTAGTGAAGGCAAGCCTGCTCCTTCCAAGCTGCCCCTTCTCTCTGAGAAGCAGTCCTGCCCCTCTGTAGGATTCCTGGTCAATCTTTCAATCTGAAATTCATTACCGCAGTTCCCAAGCTTTAATCCAGTTGAACCTGTCTCGATATGAGAGGACTCTAACTGTCCCTCTCCTGTAAGCCGAGCAGGTTGTTGTTTGGATTCTCCATTTAGACCCTGAGCACCTTGTTATGTTAGACTATACTGATTATCACAAGGTGCTGGGAAACATAGAGCTGTAAAGGAGCAGGGTCATTCAGGGATCTAGAAATCACCAAAATCTAATGGACAAGTAGAAAAATTCATCTAAAAAGCAAATAACATGTTGGCCTTTGTTTCAAAAGGCTTAGAGTATAAAGAAGTGGCCGTTTTGTTAATGATACAGAGCTCTATAGAGAGGTCCTGTGAGTGTAATTGCTCAGTTCTGGGCACCACTGCTCAGGGACAACAGATTGGTGTTGGAGAGGGAGCAGAGGGTCCTGGCGTGGTCAGGGTTAAATGATGAGGACAGATTGCACAGAGTAGTGTGAGGGTGATCAAGCTGAGCTATCTAAAATAACAGGATCCAGTATGGAACACACAGTCTCCTTTGGTGAGAGAGTCCAGAGCAATGGGCCACATTCTTACTTTGGGACTTAGCACGTTGGTGATATAGAAATGTATGTTCCTGCATTGGTGCCATGTGATTGGGTGTTTTGCTTGAGCAGCAGGTAACAGGAGTTCAGACGCTGATGACCCGAGTGTGGCTAATCCTGAAAGAACTGAAGGGAACGATTCTGAGAAGGATGAGAATGAGGATTCCAAACCGCAGCTTTCCGTGGAAAAGCTCAATTCTGAGGGAGACTGCAATGAGAAGGATTGTGAGGGAATGGAGACTGTTAACATTAAAACTGAGCAATCAGAGGACAGGACAAGTGAGAACAGCCTTTCTGTGGCTGAACACTCCGGCAATGAGGAGAGAACGGGAAGTGCAGATGAAGAAACTGCACGGGTCTCAAAGGTTGGCTCACAGGGCACAGTGGAGACCGAGGCTAACGACATGTTAAACGCGAGCAGTGATTCAAGTGCAACTTGTAGTGCTGATGAGGTGGAGGACCGAGATGCTTCAAGTACAAGTAGGTAAGAAGCAGTCAGTAGATTGTTGCTGTGAACCCACATGGGTGTGCTCCAGAAACCAAGCCCCATAATTACAGGGTCATCACAAAGGGTAAAGATTTTTAAAGTCCACAGAGTTCATGACTTTCCCTCTCTTTCAGATCTATATTGATAGAAAGCACAAACCAGGCTTCTGTACTTAACAAAAATCACCACTTATCATAAACACCTAGATTCCAGCTACATGTAAACAGTTACGAAGGGCAACATATACCTCATCTGGGTAAAACTTTAACCCCCTTATAAAGCATCCCCTACAAACACATACAGACAGGAAAGAAAACACGGGTGTTATGGGCGGAGGGAAAGACTGGGAAGGCAGTTCAGTGGCCCCTGGCCATAGGGTTTGCTGAGATGATCCCTGTATTGATCAGAAACTGCTTCTCGATCTTCATTCTCCAGATACTTTCACTTGTTTGCAGGAGGCACAGGGTGGCTGGTTCACACTTAGAAAGGTCTCGGACTTATTAATGG